TCAGTTTCAAACAGTCCACTGCTGCCATGACCACAGCTTCTCTGCACGTACAACTTTGATAGGCAACGCCTGGGCTCACACGGCACTGCCACACAATACAATACTGCAAAATATGTCTAATTTATATATATGGCACGGTGCAACTCAGAAAATTAGAATATCGTTCAAAAGTCCATTATTCCTTCAATATTTGATTACCAACCCACCGGCTGAAAATCACTGATTTATGCTCATTGTAATAAAGATAAACTAAACACCAGTGCCCAGCCTTACTCCGCCCACGTGAACGTTTGAAAATTCTCTCTAAAAAGGGCGTCGCCTGACGGGCCAGGGTACAAGAGTTGGGTGGTTGAAAGATTGCTTGCCAAGGTTTCCTCCGGGTGCTCCGGTTTCCCCTACCACTAAACACATGCACACTAGGTGATAGGATGGGTCAAATGCAGGGGATACATTTGTTTTGTCTATTTATTCCTTTAAATCAGGTCAGCACATATTAATAAGCGTTGCAAATGGCGAAGTGGCACGTTCTCTGCCAAAACAATTTCCAAGTGGTAACTTTTGTTTGTTACTTACGTGGCAATAAAAATGATTCTGATTCTGATTCTAAATGTATCAGCAAGAACTGTCATAGTAAATAATCTGGAATTAGCACAATAGCTAATTTGCATTTATTGTCCTACTGCAGATTAACAACATAGACTAAACCAATTTCTTAGCACCCCTTTAAATGTCAGGTAAGTTCCACAGTTTTGCAATACATCAAAAAAAAAAAAATAAGGCACTAAAAATATCACTAAGGGAGGTAGTCCTGACTAAGCCGAGCAAATAGAGGTGATAGATACAGACAGACAGACAGAGAGATCGGTCCTGAAGTGCTGGCCAATTGCCCATGACCAGGCCAGGACCAGGATGAGCTGATAGAGCAGCAAAGGTCCCTCCCCCGGGTGCCAGTGGCCGGGAGGCTCCTCAAGATTCCAGATTCAAGAATTAGTTTGTCATTTGCAGTAAAACTGGGATGGAAAAACTGTGCAAGACTACCCCAGTGTGCACCAGATAGTACCACGGATCTATAATAATAACTGGATAGGGCAGTTGTTCTCAAACTTTTACACCAAGTACCACCTCAGAAAATACTTGCCTCTCCAAGTACCACCACAAATGACCAACACTACACAGTAGCGTAGTAAACCTAAGTATTAATCAAAAACAAGGCAGAGGTTTCATTCCTAAAGAAGTATATTTAATATTGTTAGCCATTGTAACATTTTACACAGTTTCAACAATAATATAGGATAAAAACTAAAATCTGTACTTAAATAATGATTCAATTAAAATGTTCAATTCATTATGAACTGCAAAGCCTTGACTCACTGTGAATGATATTCTGGAGTAGGATGGCCCTCTATGTCTACAGAAGGTAAGTAGTAGTAATCTTTATTTATATACCGCCTTTTCACTGCAGATCTGAGTCTCAAAGCAGTTTACAATTGTTAATTTTGGGCATTTGTCTCTCACTCCACACAAAGATGGGAGCGGGGTCGCCAGTACAGGAGGCGCATGCCAGACATGCCTATTGGACATATTTTTAGTGGTAGGGGAAACCGGAGTACCCGGAGGAAACCTACGCAGACACGGGGAGAACATGCAAACTCCACTCAGAAAGGCCCTGGTCCGACCGGGATTCGAACCCAGGACCTTCTTGCTGAGAGGCGAGAGTGCTATCCACTCAGCCACCGTGCCGCGCACTCAGCCACAAGTGCACCAGAGTACACACCAGCGCTCCTGCCAAGGCGCCATTATTCAGGCGCCATGCGTAACTTGCGATGTACCGGGTGATGGGCTGGTTCCTTGAAGCCTTTTCTCTGGTGGATTTATGGAACAGTGATTTATTTATTTATTTATTTGATAGGGACAATGCACATTAATGAACATCAGTATAAAACAAATGTAAATATGCCGGATTATAGCTACAAAGCTAGTTTTCATCCGTAGTCCCTAGGCAGGAAAACACATAATAAAATACAAAATAACACTACAATACAGACAGCACAGGGAAAAGTTCAGAGTCTAGTGGTCACATGACTGGTTTCTTTTAAGCCATTGTTTGATTTGAGTTTTAAAGGTGACCATATAGGACTCTCCCGTAAGTGCAGAGGGAGACTGTTCCAGATGTTCATGGCCTTCACAGAGAGAGGTTTTGTCCAAAGGTAGTTTTTCTGAAGGGGACCTCAGTCTCCTCTAGAGGAGGCCCTAGTCCTCAGGCCACTTGAAGTCCTAGGTTTGAATAAGGCCGATACAGGAGGTGGGGCTAGTCCATGTAGCGCTTTGTAAATGAAGCATACATACTTAAAGTTGATAAAACGTTCAAAATTTAAAAGATTGTGCTTGTTTAAAATATTGCATGCATGAAATGAATTGGGTTTTCTGTCAAAAACTTTAAGAGATTTCTTATACAGAGATTCAATTATTTTCAAATTGGTTACAGAGGTGAGAGACCAATTTGTGATGCAATATTCAACATGGGATAAAATCATTGAATGGAGAAACATTCTAGCTGCACTAGCTAAGTGTTCAAAAAGACCTGATTTGTTTAAACATTTTAAGGTTGAATTTAACGGTGTTGGCCAGTTTTTTTAATATGATTTTTGAAAGATAGAGTGGAGTCGAGTGTCAGACCCAGATACTTGAATTCTGTGACAAGTTGTAGTTCTTCCCCTCTCAAGAAAACTCCAGAATTTTTAATCACTTTTGATTGCTTGGAGAACATCATACAGACCGTTTTTTTAGAATTTAGAAGCAAGCATGATTTAAACAGCCAGTCATTTACTTGCTCCATGGCTGAGGTCAAAATGGAAGCTGCTTCCTTAACGCTCCTTGCATGAGTATATATTACAGCATCATCTGCATACATTTGAAAACTCACATACACTAAGTACATGTTTTGGGAAGATCATTTATGTACAGTGAGAATAATAGGGGGCCAAGTATTGATCCTTGCGGCACACCGACTGAGACATCCTGGATTGATGACTTTACACTGCCAATATGTACACATTGTTTTCGTGAAGCTAAATATGATTTAATCCATTGAATGGCCTGTGGCGAGAAGTTGAAGTCTGTTAATTTTGCTGTCAGAATTTCATGGCTGACAGTGTCAAATGCCTTTTTAAGATCAAGGAACACTGCACTGATTCTGATTGGGCAGCACGGTGGCTGAGTGGATAGCACTCTCGCCTCTTTGCATGTTCTCCCGTGTCTGCGTAGGTTTCCTCCGGGTTCTCTGGTTTCCCCTACCACTAAAAACATGTGCAATAGTTCAGGATGAATGAGTGTGTGTTTGTGAGTGCGAATGTGGGACAACGGATGGAAATTAGCCCATGGCTACAATCCGGAGTGATGTGTTCATTAACATGTACTGTCCCAACCAAATAAATAAATAAATAAATAAATTAATTGAGCTCCAGTATTGTCAAAAGTCTGAACATGAACCTCTAACACCATATAGAGCAGAGATCAATACACTGCAGACGTGATCAGCTGTGACAGCACTTTCTTCTCCTATTCTAAAGAGCTGACAGGACCATCCCATTAATGAAGGACACCAGGAGGTTTCTTTCCTTACTGGTCCTTGATGTTATTGCCCAATTTGGATCCTCCTTTTCATGGCGGACAGAACACAGGCTTCTGGGTCGTCGATTAGGAAAGGACTTTCCTTGACGTATTCACGGTATTCAGACGGAGGGGAGGGAGAGACATGCTGCTCTGGCTCCTTTTGACTCAGTAACCATTTGTATCACACTCACCGTCTGTTTCACACACACCTACTATTATAGAAGATAGTTTCCCCCAGGTCTTCCCCCAACCCACTGACAACCTCAACACCCCACAGCCCCTCTGGTGTCACCCCTGAATGCGGGCAGCAGCAGCATAAGAACCACAGCACTTGGTTTCCTTTTTCATTTTTTACATAGTCCTTTTATATATGTTAAAAGTAAAAGGGTATCACTCCAAACCTGCCTTGATTGAAGCTCTATAGACCATGGACCAGGCTCTCGCTCCCCCATACTCCGCTTGCCCACCGTTGGAGCAGGATTTGGGGATTTCATAATTTCCTGTTCTTTCTGAAAAGGGGTGGCAGCACCTGGTCCACACAGCTGTACTTCATTTAGAGAGCAATTTGAAAAGAGCGCGGGGGAGCGGAGAGGAGCGCAGCAGCCTTGTCATTACGGCTACAGAATGGCCTCCGTTTGTTAGACACATGGCACAGAGTTAATGCGCTTGAATGGGGAATAGGAGCTGTTGATGCTGTCACAAATTTCTCATAAGTGCTACGACGTCTGAAAAATCCTCTCCAAGTGCAGAGAGGGGCAGATTCAAAACGTCCTTACAGCTAGGAGGGTAGTTTGTAGGTAATTGACAGCTGCGGCTATACTTCAGCATGTACTATCATTTGTGTACAGTGTTGAGTTGTGTGCACCTTAGCTTTTCATGAGTGAGAATCAGATTTGAAAATCATCCCAGCCGATGATAAAGGTGCTAGTTGTCCCCTTTATGATGCTGATCTGAAAGATTACGACGGCTCACGTGCAGAAAAGTGGTGGAGAGGGTGGGATGAAAGGCAAGAGCGCCACTGCCACATCACAGCCCGCATTTTCTATTCTACCAATCTGTCCAAACAGTCAGATTACCCCCATCCACCCACACACAAACACACACACATGTGCACATACACGCACACACATAAACACACAAATGCATATACAAACACACATGCACATATGCATTTTCACACAAACACACATATGCACACAGTCACACATGCACACACATGTACGCGCTCACACACATACTTGTGAGTATGGAGGGTATTCAGTGTGAGTTGAGAAGGAATATTTCTCTGACTACTGAGAGAACATTGGGAACAGTTTTTTTCCATGTTGCCACAACAAGTGAATGCTTCTTTATTTCCCTGACTTTCAATGGCCGCCACTACACTGGGTTTAGGGCCACCCCAGGGTCTGGAAGGAGATGTCCTTGGGCTGATTAGAGGAGTATTGAGCTTCTGAGTTTGGAGCTGTATTGGAGTGCTCCTTGGCAGAGGTGCAGTTGGGTGGGGGTTTTGGGTGAGGGTGTAGCTTGTGTTGGGCAGGCCGCTCCTCAGAGCAGATGCGAGCCCTCATGTCAGAGGCAGGCAGTGGCCCGGTGGAGAGCGGCGCGTGCTCATACCTCATTGAGCCGTCTCCTGGAGCAGATGGCGCGCTGCTGCGGGCGCTGCGCTCCCCGATAATTACTGCGCCCCTGCCACAGATGGAAATGTCAGTCAGCCTCACAGGTCCTGGTTCCTCCTGCCTCCGTCCGCGGCCCCTCTACCTCAGCCGGCCTCTGCCAAAACTCACCATGTGTTCTGTGACTGCTGACTAGGCAGGCAACAAAAGACAAATCCGCCCACATAAATATTCATGTGGGATGTGAGGAGTGAGGCAGAGGGCTGGTGCACTGGGGCAGGTGTAGCTGGTGCCTATCACTGCATCTTCAACATCCACCCATGTTTATATATGCATCAAAAAGAACCGAAAGACAGGTGATGTCATTCAGTACCTATTGCGTTCTACTGTTGCAACATATTTAGGAGATTAGGATAACTATGTTTGCAAAATGGATTCATTCTAGCAGATGCCAGGACAAACCCCCACTTATCTGTGATAAGGTGACCAGATGTCTCAGCTTGGCAAACGCAACACTCCCTGAGTTTTATTACTCTGTGCCAAAACATCCCATGAGAAATTTCTCTGAATTCACAGATAATCTTTGTACTGAACAAGGCGTTCGGCTTTAGCTTCTGTGATTGTGTCTTGTCACTGTTGTGTAGACTTGTATCTTGCCACACCAAGGGTTGAAGTGACTGTAGGAGAAAAAGCTACAGCAGAAGCTACATGGAAATATCTACAAATATATGAACTTTGCTGCAGCTCAAATCAACTTATGAAGGAACCTTCTCTCAGCTTCTGGACTTAATATTCTCATGCTAATGTTTTTGTGTGAGCAGGTACGTGACCCAGTGAAGCCAATTGTGCTCCAGAGGGGAGGACAGCAAATGTGACCTATCAACCTTTTCAATAGACTTTAAAGTCCAACACAACAAGACAACATGTCAGCTACATGCTGTTATGTGTCACGTTGTGGGCTTTGTGCCCTTTCACAGACTGGGGCGCCCGTTTCCCGCTCCATCTTTGGCATCAAACTCCAGCTCCTGGATTGAAGCCACCCTGCACTGAAACTAGTAACCAACCAGAAAAAGTGCTGTGTGCTATTGGTTTGTTCTGTCAGTGTTTACAGATATTTACAGTCAATGGTCAGTATTCACAGTCTATGATCAGTATTTACAGTCTATGGTCAGTATTCACAGTCTATGGTCAGTAGACTAGAGTAGTAGGGGCAACAGTAGCTCAGTTGGTAGAGCATTGGCCTTAGAGCCTGAAAGTCGTGGGTTCGAGCCCACCATAAGACCTACTTCACGACTCCCACTGATGACCGCTGTCGTTGTGTCCTTGGGCAAGACACTTAACCCCACTTTGCCAGAAGCCGCCGCTGAAAGATCTCAGCTCCTGTGGACTCACCACCTGCAGGAGGATCAGTGAGGGGCTGGTGCTCTGTGGACTGAGTACAGCTCTGACTGTCACCCCCCCCACCCCCCCCCCCCCCCCCCCGATCCAGAAATGGATTAAGGGGTAAAAAATGGATGAATGGATGGATGATCAGTATTCACGGTCTATGGTCAGTATTTACAGTCTACAGTCTATGGTCAGTATTCACAGTCTATGGTCAGTATTCACAGTCTATGGTCAGTATTCACAGTCTATGGTCAGTATTCACAGTCTATGGTCAGTGCCCTGCCCGCCGTGAGCCTGTCTTGTGTGTCTATATTTGAGATTGGCCTCTACCACGGTCCTTGTGGCATAGTGTTAAGTTGATTTTCATCAACTTAACACTTTTAACATTTCTGTTTGCTCCTTTTTACCATTTATATTAATATGTCATCTATTCAACCACTTCACATGGTTGTGTTACATTCCTTTTCCCGCAGCGAGCTAAAATAAGGTTTGTAACAGTACCTCTGCCTTTTTGCTGCCCATTCACGAGGCCTCACTGGCGGGTTTAATAGAGGCTCTGATCTTTATTTAAAGTGGTCAAATGCACCTCAAGATCAGGCTTTGTTGTATGCAGATGCACAACAATATCGGCATCAGTATGTGCTTTCTTCTTTTTGTCTTGGCCTCATTTCATTCAGCCCATTATGTAAATGATTTGGTTGAAATGAGTGAGACAAGTGCAGGGGCCAGGTCTCCTTTAGGACCTAGAGAAATTAGCACTTAAAAGGCATTTTGTGCTCCAACAATGGTCCAGGTGCTGTGCCCTCGACCAGCAGCGTGCACTCGGGCTCAGGCAGAAAGTTGGTGTCACACCTGTGTCTGCGGCGACCGGCTCCAATCTGACTCACGCACAACAGGAGTTCACTCACATTAATGTCAGTAAAAACCAACTGTCCTCCATCCTGCGTGAACTGCACAAGTCATCACTTTAGTCCTTGTACAAATTACAAGTGGATGATGTCACACTGATCAATGAAAAGGCAAAGAAGGACTGGGAAAGATGCTTCTGTTTGTGTAGACTTATGGTATTTGTTTTGGTGCTTTTGTGGAAAAAATAGGGTTGGAAAAAGTTCCATTTGCATCGATAGCTGACCCTACTGAAGCAAACTTGCATTAAAAATCCATAAAAAAAATCAAGGAATTATAAAAAGTTCGGTAACACTTTATTTTAGCACCCCCTAACTAACAGCTGTACTAATTAGTGTATTAATGTGTGGTTAATTAGCTCTTTATTGGTATTTATTAAGCACTTATTTGTCCTTATTCTACATACCCTTATTCAACATCTAACTCACTACTAACTGACACTTTCCCATTTATTCATTCTTAATAACTACTCATTAGCCAGAAATTACATAGTTGTTATAGTGTTAATTTGCATTTGGGAATATGGGTCTTATTAAGTGTTAATGATACACAAACTGTTATTAGCCGTTATCACCTCTTGATGAACATGGACAGATCTCGGAAACACTTTATTTTAGCACCCACTAACAAACAGCTTATTAAGTGCTACTGAGAACATGTTGAAGGTGAAATGATTTTCATGAGGCATTATGAGAAAAACATCAAAGAATAATGTAATTTCATTGATTTATTTCGCATTTTTAGTCCCTTGTGCCAACTGGAGATCGGCCAAATGACAGTCACTGGACGAGGTCAAAGCAACTGTCACGTGCTCGTCATGTGACCAGGGACAAAACACTGCCCCCTTATACATAGGAGGTCCATCATTTTTAATTGATTCTTTTTTTCTTCTTGTTTTATGTGATTTTTTTTTTTTTTTCATACCGTATCATCCTATAGGTCTCGGACATTTCACAGACAGGGCTCAAAATGACTTGACAATATCTGAAGAAGTGCAGCATGAAAAGAATCTTGATAAGTCTGAAAAGTGAACAGCAACTTTGGCAAAAAAAAAAAAAGTAAAACCATGTTATTGTGGTTGTTGCTGTAGTTTTGTTTTTCCACATGGACTTACAGACAAATGGAAAAGTACAGACTGAAGTGTCATGTGGTGAAAGGAAGGAGGACCCTATGTCAAAGAACGCAAATAATAAAAAATCACTCGGTCCGGTGGCTGCACTCTTGCTTCTCAGCTAGAAGGGTTCGAATCCCGGTTGGAGCAGACTCTTTCTAAGTGGAGTTTACATGTTCTCCCCGCGCCTGGGTAGATTTCCTCCGTGTGCTCTGGTCTCCCTTACCACCAAAAACAAGGCAAGGCAGGCCAAGTTTATTCGTACAATTCCTACACAATACAATAGGTATGAATGTAATGAGTGAGTGAATGGACGATGGTGGCTGAGGCTTTGATGTGCCGGTGTGTTCAGCCTCTCGCTTCTGTCACCACCGTGTGTGAATAGAAAATTATCTGATTTCTGAACATTGTAAAGCGCTTTGGGTGACCTTGGTCTGTAAAATGCACTGTATACTGTAGATTACTTAAGCAATCTGACTTAAGCAATCAAGGACATAAAAAGAAGTCCAGGATGAAACCTAACCAGAAACTCAGGATCCAGGAAAGTAGGCAGACAAGAACAATGGGCCAGAAACAATTGGGGAAGAGCACAAGGTACACAGGCAAACCACACAAACCACAGGAGTCATAATAAAATAATAAAAAAATCTATACCATGACAGGCAGAGAAAATAAGATAAGATATGAAAGCCTTTATTCCTCCTACAGTGGGCACATTTCAATATACCGCAGAGATTCGTTTTCACACGTTTAGCCGAGGAGGATATATGAATAATTTAATCACTATAAACAGACAGAATGTGGACACAAGCATTGGCTAAGGACATAAATGGGAGACTGCTGGACCGTCGCATTAGTGCAGCGAAGAGATAATATGCATTTTGGCGTCACTGGACTCTGCAGTGTGTATTTTAATTCAATTTTTTTTTAAATTGTATTGCGCTAAATCACAACCGTAGATATCTCGGAGGACTTTCCAAAGCCATCAGTTCATCAATGCAGATCAGAGAATCAAATACTGCAAACAAAATAAATGCAATCATAGAAAAAACACATATGAGCAATATCAATGTGGGTAAGGGTCATTAATGTTGTTGAATGTCGAGTGTCCTGGATCATCACCGTTGTCCTTAGACCCTCCTGGCTCAGAAAGGAAAAACTCTAAAAACGCAGTTGGAGAAAATGTGGTTATTATTATGGATTGTGCTCGTCTTCGTGCAGGTGAGTGGTCAGAGTGGATGCTTTTATAATGGGATTTTTCAGTAAAACTACAGAGAGGCGCCACATATAAAACACATTTACTGCTGCCTACCGTCACTAGTGAATCCACGTGTCTTTGTCAGGCACACTGAGTTGCAGTAGGAATTGTGCTAAATAAAAAAATGTGATTCTTCTTTCTTATCTTGTTCAGTCAGTTGGTTCTTACAAGGATCAGTTCTTTGAGTATGAAACACAACAATACAGAGGCCCTCCTATCTGACCCATACTGACCTGGCCACAAACACCCAGCCCCCAGTGGAAATAACTGCTCGCAAATAGGTCTGGACCAGATACGAACCAGGAATGAAAACAGTCTGGACCATAATACATTCATAGTCAGGGCCAGGACTGGACCAAGACTGAAAAAGGTAAGTAAGAAACCTTTATTTCTATAGCCCCTTTCACAGACCAGAGTCACAAAGCGTTTTTACAATTGTGGGCATTATTATGTGGCCTATAATGTTTTTAGTGATAGGGGAAACCGGTGCTCCTGGAGGAAACTGGAGCACCTGGAGGAAACCGGAGCACCTGGAGGAAACTGGAGTACCTGGAGGAAACCTAGGCAGACACAAAGAGAACCTGCCAAAATAAATTTCCCAATTGTGGGACTAATAAAGGATCTCTAAATCTTAATCTTAATCAACTCCACACAGACAGGCCTTGTTTGGAAGTGGAGACGAACACAAGACCTTTTTGCTAAGAAGAACGACTAACCACTGTGCCACCGTGCCGCCCAGGTTTGGACCAAGACGGAAGCTTGAATCATACAACCCTCTGCAGTCAGATATATCAAAATGGGGACTTCATATTGCACCTTATTACACACACACACACACACACACACACATACAACTATTATTTCCAAAAGCAACTGCAATTATGGTGATGATCAACAACATTTACGGACTTAATCACCATTTTGTCACGTGGTGAATTTGAAGGAATTACCCAAAATGCAAGAACGCAGAACAATGATAATAAATAAAAGTTCAGGGGAAAAACAATGACAATGACAATGAACTAGCAATAAATTCTTATTTTTCGGGTTTTACGTTTTTTTTTTTCTGGCGAGTGGCGCTCAACTTGAAGGTGTATTTCCACCACCGACAGTATCAGAGTGCGAACCAGAGCTACACTATCTTAAAGCTGCACTAACTGACTTTATTTTTGTATTCATTACGAAAATGCTATCCATTATGGATAAGGATATACGTCCTTTTGAAGAATAAGTAGCGCAGGTTTGTGCCGGCGTGACGTTATATTTTAGATCGAGTTTTGATGAAACAAGGAAGAGAATGTGTTTCGGGTCTCTGATTGTGACCAATCACAGCGGACCACTGGCCCCCACTTTCTTGAGAAATCTACAGGTCCGTTAGCATAGACGGCTGAGTTAGCACAACAAGCGGCGGAGCTAACCTGAAGTTTCCTTGTCTTCGTCACCGTTTACTGCTTACACAGCGAAACAGCCATTCAAAAGAATGTCCTGTTCCGAGGCCAGCGAGGCCGCTGCTTCGAAATCCCAAAGTCAGTTAGTGCAGCTTTAATAATCTAAGAAAACAATAAAATAAAACAAACTCTCCCCATCAGTCTTGAATGCAATAATGATGTTTTTCACCTTCACTGTTGTCAAAACATAGTAAACTCTGCTCTTGTACATCCTACTTTATCTTCTGTCTGGACCTGGGGGCGGGTCCCGGCTCAAAAGTGGCCAAAATGACTAATGGCCCAAAAATTGTCCCATTAGTTAGAACGGCAGAGATAGGCGTGACTACGTCCGTTTATATATACAGTCTGGACCTTGCATATACAGTACATATTACAATAAATCAATTCTCTACAGACTCGACCTCATTACAACATATCCAGCAATAAATGGGAAAAGACAAGTATTTAGATACAGAGAGACACAGGTGAAATACATGAGGGCGGGGCAGACAATCACACAGGAGAATAGGACAGGAAGTAAAGCTGAAAACAAAACCACAGAAGTCAAAATAATACAAAATCCACAATTATGAACATATGGGCCAATGGATCTATGAGTGTATTTTGAATCATTATTATTGCATTTCCTGGGTTTTAACTGTTTGATTCTCTGATTCGCATTGGCGAATTCGACGATTCTGCTACACAAGAATGAATTGAATTGAATTGAATTTATTTTGTTCTTAAATAATGATGTTTGTGGATCAGGACTGCAGCAGTTCGAACACTCTCATAAGACATTGCCCGTCATGTCGAGCGCCTGTGTCCGGGCCACATGGCGGATGGGAGCGTGCCAGTCAAAGTAAGAGTTGGTGACCTTGTTAGCAGTTGGTTGAAGTTGGCCGGCTGGTGGAGCTGTCTGTGGGGAGGGACGGACAGATGCGACACTCCTCTCAGGGCACAACATCTCGCCTGGTACAGCTCACAATCTGGCCCGGGCAGCTGGAACCCTAATCATCAGTGGTCACCTGAGCGCCCAGCCCCTCCCCCTCCCATCTGACCTCCGGCACGCCACCGCCACTGCTCCGGCTGCAGTGCTCACTATGGGACAGGTGCAAATAAAAGAGTTTTTGTGGGGTTTTTTTGTGTTATTGTGTGCATGTTTTCACTCTCTAGTCTGTTTGCATAATCATAGACATTGGTCAACTCCCCCTTATGGACCAATACCTGTGTTCTATATTTTGTTTTGTAGTGGCGATTTCAACGGTTTTGTTAAATCCTCTGAGATGTATACTGTTGTGATTTAGGGCTATACAATGATGAATTGAATTGAACATGTTTGCATTGGCTCCACTTCATAAACTAATGTCAGAAAGTGCAATACAGCGTCCACTTCCTCTACTTCCTCTACTTGCTCTACTCACTCTACATGCTGCTAACATGTACAAATGTATACATACAACTTTATACTTGCACTACTTACTTACGTACTTAATATTTGCTTCTTATTATGCCAAAGACAGAGATTTTATGCTTCTGTATTGTGCTAAAGTCTGAGTATTTGTACCCATAATGCTAAAGATAGGGGTGATTATACTTTTTGATGCTAGAGTTAGAATTTTTAATTTCATTTAACTTAGTATAGAGGTATTGATTATTTATCTTGTGTTGTGATCTCCTATTTGTCATTGTAATTTTCCTACTGTTCTGAAACTGGTGATGCAACATTACCCCAATCTGGGAAGAATAAAGGATCTCTTAATCTAATCCCATTTGAACATAACGCTCCTGGTGGGATTAACACCATAACACCAGTCAATTTGACAGCTTTTAGTTTATGTAATTACTCAGCTTATGTACATTTTTGTTTTTCTTTGTGACTTATTCTGTTTTTGTATTACGTTTTTTTCTGTCATTTTGTTTTTATTATTAAATTAACTTTTGTTTGAGGAGTTCTCCCATTACCCCCAGAGAAGAGATAGCACTTGTTACCATAGCAACACACTGTTTACTGTCAGCAGTTTTATTTGCTGTATTTCATGCTATATTCACCAGTTTTAGCACTTATTTAAAAGTGAGTAAAGGTGAAAAACTAACATTTTTGGAAGAACTTTCTCAGAACAACATTGGTTTGAATGGGAACAGTCAAAATAGTGGCTCTGGGAATTTTAGTAATTTCCGAATTTAATTTTGGGAGTTTAAATGTTGATAAATTCTACTGAATGAGAATTTGGTTGGCGTCATAGAGACATTAAAAGTCCTATACCTCAGAATAAAAATATATATTATTCTGGTAATGGATTTTTCATGTGCAAATTATGTTTAGCCTATTTCAAATACAGCATCCAACTTGAGGCTCAAAAGTAAACGAACGCTCCATTCTTCATTAAAAGGACTTGAACTGGCTCTGTGGTTCAACAGAAGGGGGCGCTAGTTAGCTTCCTTTGGCTTCTGTTGTGGCTGAAGTCTGCCCAGAAGCCCTGTCATGTAAATCTTCTGTAAAAACTCTACATGTGACACGGTTTCATGATGTCAGCAGAGAAGCAAGTCTGTGTGAGAGGCTCTGAGGCCGTCACGCCGAGCTCTGCTTCTTTATTTACTTCTTTATTATGCTAAAGTTAGACATTTAATTTTATTTTATTATAGAGTTAGACTCTAGAGAATTCTTTACTTTTTCTTATTTTTATTTTATTTTTGTCCCCATGTAAAGCGTCTTTGAGTGTTCAAAAAAAGTGCTATACAAGTTGTATGTGGTTTTATTATTATTCATTCTAAATATGTACTATTTTATCTGTTATGTTTATGGAAGTTTGTGATCAGAATGATGGTTGCAGCCTGTTATTTGTTGGCATCTTTCATCAAAAGCCACATCGTTTTTGGGCAATTCAATTCCAATTTATTCTTGTCTAAATCCTAACAGTTATCTCAGAGGACAGCGAATCAAACGGTTCAAACTCAGGAAATGCAATAATAAAAACGCATTGAGTCCTTAGGAAAGATGTCCTTAAATGTTGATGAACATAAACATTGTTGAATCACTCTGTCCCCTGACACCTGCAGCGCCAAGATGGCTCCTGCAGCATGTGATCATTTTAGAGCTATTTTTGTTCATTGTAAATGTTGTTGCACAGTGGCGCAGTGGTTAGCGCTTGTACTTCACAGCAAGGAGGTCGTAGGTTCTATTCCACCTCCGGGCCTTACTGAGTTTGCATGTTCTCCCTGTGTCTACATAGATTTCCTACAGGTGCTCTGGTTTTCCATACCATTAAAAGCATGTACAATAGTCCTCCATAACACCCTCCCTTACCCCCACCCCCGCCCCCATGGGACCAGGACTCCCCTGAAAAAGAGATTCTGCAGTCTCAGTGGGACTTTCCTGGTTCAATGAAGGGCAATAATAAATGTCCCAGTGGTGACACCGTAGCAGAGGAGGGCGGGGCTTAGCGGGCAGGACAGGTAACATAAACCCTGCTGCTGCTGCAGGAGTCTATCCACCGCTCCTCCGCTAAAGGAAAACCATGTTATAGTAAGGGTTGGTTTCACATTTTAGGTTGAATTAGAGAATATATATAAGGAACCTTTGAACGATATTATGATGTTCTGAGTTTCACCTGGACTCCCACAGACCCAGTACTGAGCCGTGTCATTCTGATGTATTCTGACAGACCTATTTTCAGTCCATAAAAAGACAACATTGTTACAAAGTACATTGTAACGATGTACATTACATCGTTATAATGTAATTTTCTTGTTCAAAAGTACATTATAACAAGCACAGACCAACTTTAGCAGTCTGAGTAGTGACTGAGGGAGTTAGAGACGGGGAAGAGCGCTGTGTATGGAGCTATGGACAGCAAGCGACTCCTCGGAGAAGGAGGAGAATGCGAAGGAGGAGCAGCGACACAGGTGTGTGAGCTGCTATTGCTGATGTTTTAGTTCGAATGCACACATCAAAAACGTATTATAAGCTTTAGTGCTCACTAGGGCTTTGACTTTTGTACAAAAATCATATTCGAAGTTCGTTTGTTTAATAATTTGAACATTTGAATATGTTCGAATATTGAATTATAATTCATTAAACTCTGCAGACCCGCTAGCCCGGAGTAACCATTCACATGAAACGGACATTTTAGGACACATTTGAAGAGGATCTGATTATGGATGTAGGTTGGGTATATAAATGGATAACTCACCGCTGATGGTCAGAATTCTTTGTTCAGTTTTCATGTAGTTCCAGAGAGTTTTTGAACTAGCTAGCTTAGCTGTTATCCGCCTAGCACAATAGATCCATGGCCTAGCCACATCACAGCAAAACCTTTGGGAGCTATTTATTTTATTTGCAGTCATTAAATACATTTCAAATATTAAGGGCTGTCTAATATTTGTTTGAATATATGTATATATTTTAATATTCAAATTATATTCAAATATCGTATTTCAAAGCCCTAGTGCACACTGTTAGTGCAGTGGATTTTGGTTATAAAAAACGTCTGTTGTTGTCAGAGTGTCTGCTCCCCTTATCATCCTCAATGAAAATGTGTTGCTTAAGTTTATGTATTCAGTCATTATTCAATGGTAAACTAAAAATCCATGTGAAAATGTCCATTCATACTGTTCTCACGACAAATATTTATATGCGATTAAAATGCGATTAATTAATCGCAAAGCCTCTAATTAATTAGATTAATTATTTTAATCGAGTCCCAGCCCTAATATATATATATATATATATGGAATATATTAATTTATTTATTTTTTGGCCACGCCCCCTGACAAACAGGAAGCCCATAAATTTAATTGGAATATGGAAAAATGAAAATTTATCATTTTCACACATGTTGGTTGGAAAGCGGCCTTGGCCGTTTCACCGATTTGCCTCAAAATCGCTCCACATCGTCTAAACACATGTTCCATGAAAATGACTTTACAGAATTTTTATCAGTTACACTTTGTTTGAGCAGCTGAGTGGCAAAATTACACTTTTCCCCGCATTTTTGACAATAGAAAATTAGCTCCTGTTTGCACATACTTTCGCACTTTCGTCCAATTCGCACAAAACTTTAATACATTGTTCAACTCAGGGTATAGGTCATTTGAAAGTGAAACAATTAAAATTGGCCCATTAGCGCCCCCTACAGACAATGTCAAAGTTTTACATGGGGTTAATCACATTTAGTTTATTCAAAAAGTTTGACATTTTGAACATAATTCTGTTTTGCCCTCTTGATTAAAAAAGTCATTGGGACCCAAGGCTTCTTTTTTACCCTGTTGCCGTGGCGACGACAAACGCTCCCCATTCTCTGTTAAGGGCAAATTTACACCTCGCAGAAACATCAAACTAGCCTCGACCGTTTCACAGATTTGGCGGAAAATTGCTCCATATCATCTCAACACATGTACCATCAATAGTTGTTCATAGAATTTTGATTAGACACATGGTCATCCAATGGGAAATGTATATATATCGACACACTCACAGATTATGCATGTGCTTCTGTTTACACACACAAAGTCTTATTTGTGCTAAACTTGACTCGGTTGTTCAACTCCTGGGCCTGGGTCACCTGAAAGTGTGAAATATTAAATTTGCCCTTTAGCGCCCCCTACAGACTGAATCAAAGTTTTACATGGGGAGCCAAACCAACTGATCATATTCATTGAAATTTTACAAACATTGTGCTACAACTTTCTTTGTATCTCACTTTGGTTATGACAAATTATTTTGCATTTCTCGGGCCCAATGGAATGACTCTTTGAAGATTAAGATTAAGTGGGTTAGGGTTAGGGTTGCATCACAAGTTCTAGAACAGTAGGAATAAGGAACATGTTCTGTTAAGACACAGAAAATATGCATAATGTATTGGTTCATTGGGAGACCAATATCCATGAATGTTGATAAATGTCCATACATATTGCAGAATGTAAAAGTATCCTGGAGCATCACCACAGTCCTTTTGTTAGACACTA